TCATAAAGGAATGAACCATAGGCTTGGTATTCATGTATGCATAGGAACGGACAACATGGGGCATCTTTTGTGTACGATGTTACAAAACTGTCTAGACCATACTTTTGTTGATGACGTTCCATGATGATTATGATTTTCACGGATGAAATAGTCGAGTAGGTGAATCTAATTTAGGTCAGTTGCTTGGAAATTGAAGTCTAACGATGAGATTTTCTGACTTTTCAACAACACCTAGACTATGACAGGTTCTTCTTGACAAGCTTAAGAAATTAGATTCGTATACCCAGATTATAATATTATATGTATACCGAGGTCTGATAAAGGTGATTATATTATATGTGTATACAATAAAGCTGAGCTATTCCGCTAAGGCAATTGGTTATAGAGGAAACTTCGAAAGCCCTAGCTTTATGAATAGATTATATTCAAACCATGACCTTGATTGGGTACCTGGCAATTCGGTGTATGCTCCACTGTGATTGTCAAGTCAAAGACTTTGTGATGAGATAAATCCTTCAGCTAGCCCAATAAAGACAAATTACAATAAAGCTAATTTCAGCTAGCCAGAAAATGGAAAATTAAATCAAGTTTATATAAATAAGGAGTTACGGTAAAGATGGACTAAGGGAGTTGAGGAACACCTGTCATAGTCAATTTCACACGAGCACTCAGAAATTTCATTTTTAGATCGATATTTCTGCACTACCTTGGTTAGAGGAGTCTACGAAGCTTGAACAAATGGAAGATTTCAGAGAACTGAAATGGAAGTGTTCTGGAAAGTCTAGTAATGGATTATACTAGTTACGTCATTTTTTCCGCATCCGATTAAAATACCAAGCCAAAAAGAAGGGCATGTTGCGGTATTCACGATGACCAAGAAGGAAATGACATTTTTGGTGATCGAAACCTTAGAAGATAAGAAGCCAACCTGGAGCCAACCCCTCAATTTTAACACTTGTCAAAGAGCTATAACCCTAAAAACATTAAAGAGCTATTGATTCTTTTGATATTATGTGAACTCATGTCTATGATTTGATTTGATTGCAAACCTGAATTAAGGGGAAATATTTAATAAAATTCTTTCATTCTTTGATCTTTGAAATAAGAGAAAGAAGAAAAACATTTTCAAATAGAACAGTTCAAATGTGAAAGGTCCTTGAAGCTGGTGAGGCTCATTGTGCCTCTATTTGAGAATAAGAATAAGCAATGCCGAAACGTGAAGCATTCCGCAATCTTGAAGTAGATAGTCTAAAGAGATCAGAATGGATGAAGAATAAGAGCTTTTAGCATTTCCAGATGACGTTGTCAATAACCCATCAAGAAGTAGATGCTTGCCATATTTGAAAGGGGCACATATCTCAGCCCGAATGGAAATACAAGACATTGTGTTATCACTTCTTAAGTAGTATGAAGAAAAGCCCTCAAACTATTTGACAACACTACTGTGTAGTGACACCAGAATGAGAACATTCAAGTTGTGATATGATGGGGCATGATTGAACCCATATCATGTTGAGATGACAAGATTCAGACAAAAGAGGCATGAAGAACGAGCCTTATGATTTGAGGTAAAGGGGTATTTTGAAGGCTCATACCAGTATAAGATAATGTTAGGGCATGACTGAACCCACATCACGTTGAGATGACAAGATTCGGACCAATAAGACATTGAGAGTGAGCCTTACAATCTGATATGTTGGGGTATTTTGAAGGCCCGTACAAATATGAGATAACATTGCGGCACTAGTGAAGGCCTATTTCAACTAGAAGTATTAATGTGGGGCATCTTTGGAAGCCTATGAAGACTTGTGGAATGATCATTGAATTGGACAAATAGTTCCAATGAGATAGAAATGTATGAAGGGTGAAAATGATGAAACAGTGATCATTTGGTCCATCATCAGTTGCTTTACTCTTGTGATTTCATATGCATTAATGTAGGCGAGCCGGTATCCCACTTTAATTTCCACTGAGTTTTGGTATCCTTGTAATACCATGCGAAAACTCTGAGTGCTACACAAAGAGCTTCTCCAGTTGAAAGATATGGCCAGAAGTCATAGAAAAAGATGAATGTGTGGTCAAATGTTTTACTATCCAGTGAGTATGGTGTTGAATCAGTGTTGCAATCATGTATTGTTTCCATTACCCAAGATGAAGGTTGTCTTACGCAACTCCAAGGTTAAAATGAGAAATGATTTGGTAACATGAAAAATTGGGATAAAGCCTCCTTGTGATATGTTGTAAGAGTCAAATCAGAATAGATGCTGCTATCCCTGTGATCTTTACGGAGTTTGGCATAGTCATGTGCACAGTCTCCGAAGATGAGGCAACACAACCATATTTCTGACCACAGCAAGAAGTTGAGAGATAAAAGCAATTTCTCTGAAATGAAGATAGGAGACAAAGACAACAAGAAGATAAAAGAAGATCAGAGGGCTCTTCCAAAATGCAAGTTGAAAAATATGAGTTGCTATATGGATATCTGAGCAAACCCTAGAAGGGAATGATCAAGTAGAAGAAGACTGAGTTCGCCACCTTGAAGTCAAACAAAGAAGGAATCAACATTTATGCATTCATGAAAACATCATTTGCATAAAAGAAAATGCATTACACTGATACATTGAGTTGCATTTGTGTTTCATGCATAAACACATGATTTTGACAGATCTTCCAATGAGAAGAGAAGATACAAGATGTTAAAATCTTGACGATTGAAAGGAAGATTTCAAACCTCAAACGCAAGAAATCGTATCTAGAGAGGCATACCCTGAAGAATTAAGAGGTCTAATCCACAGAAGAAGCATTACTCTGAAGTGATGACCATCAGATATAGAAGAAAAACAAAGATTTTTGTGTATGAAAGAGTGAATCGATCGATTGGAAGGACTTGCACACATGAGATTGGGGTAAGTCAATCTTAAGCATTCAACAAAGAGGAGTGAAGCAAACCATCTTAAGCCTTCACCGGAGAGTAGTGAAGCACCATCTTAAGCCTTCACAGAGGAGTAGTGAAGCACCATCTTAAGCCTTCATCGAAGAGTAGTGAAGCAAATCCATCCATAAGACCTTCGGGTAGGATGTTTTCACATGAATTTGAAAATAAAAAAATAGTGTTTTAAGAAGATGGAATTTTTGAAAATGAAGAATGCAAAATTTCACAATGTATAAGTCCTTCTGGCCATCAGTAAGTCTTTCGAGCATGATGCTTAAAATCCTTTGGGTCATCTGTAAGCCTTTTGAGCAAGATGATAAGTCCTTCGGGCCATCCATAATACCTTCGGGTAGGGTGATTTCAAATGAATTTGAGAATGAAAAAAATGATGTTTTAAGAAGATGGAATTTTTTAAAACAAAGAATGTGATTTTTAAAATTTCACAATTTATAAGTCCTTCGGGCCATCAGTAAGTCTTTCGAGCATGATGCTTAAAATCCTTCGGGTTATCTGTAAGCCTTTAGAGCAAGATGATAAGTCCTTCAGGCCATCCATAAAACCTTCGGGTAGGATGTTTTCACATGAATTTGAAAATGAAAAAAATGATGTTTTAAGAAGATGGAATTTTTGAAAACGAAGAATGCGATTTTCAAAATTTCACAATTTATAAGTCCTTCGGGCCATCAATAAGTCTTTTGAGCATGATGCTTAAAATCCTTCGGGTCATTCGAAAGCCTTTAGATCAAGATGATAAGTCCTTCGGGCCATCAATAAAACTTTCGGGTAGGATGTTTTCACATGAATTTGAAAATGAAAAAAATGATGTTTTAAGAAGATGGAATTTTTGAAAACGAAGAAGGCGATTTTCAAAATTTCACAATTTATAAGTCCTTCGAGCCATCAGTAAGTCTTTCGAGCATGATGCTTAAATCCTTCGGGTCATATGTAAGCCTTTAGAGCAAGATGATAAGTCCATCGGGCCATCCATAAAACCTTCGGGTAGGATGTTTTCACATGAATTTGAAAATGAAGAAAAATGATGTTTTAAGAAGATGGAATTTTTGAAAACGAAGAATACGGTTTTCAAAATTTCACAATTTATAAGTCTTTCGAGCCATCAGTAAGTCTTTCGAGCATGATGCTTAAATCCTTTGGGTCATCCATAAGACTTTCGGGTAGGATGTTTTCACACCATGATGATTAAATCCTTCGGGTAATTTGTAAGCCTTCACATGAGAGTGGTGAAGCAAATCCATCAATAAGTCTTTCGAGCATGATGATTAAATCCTTCGGGTAATTTGTAAGCCTTCACCTAAGAGTAGTGAAGCAAATCCATCAATAAGTCTTTCGAGCATTATGATTAAATCCTTCGGGTAATTTTTAAGCATTTTGTGCACGTGAGATGGAGGCGGAAGTCAATAAGAAGACTGAAGAAGGAATAGATGCTGCGGTCAGACAAAATTAGGTTATTTTTTTGTCTTTGCCACGTTCGTGTGTTCACAACAACGAGCAAAGAGGGGCAGTTGTAATACCCTAATTTTGTCCGGACATTTTAATTTAATTTAAAGATGATTGGGAAATAATTTGAAGATGTTGGTGCTCGATGAAGAATTAATTCAAATAATGAAGCGTGGAATATTGCGTTTGAAAGCTTTAGGTGCTCGATTATAATTGGAATCTTATATGGAAATCGAGACATAAATTGAAATCCAAATTCCAAAATTGAATGTTTAAAGTCCATTTATAAGCCCAAGTCAGTTCAAATAATTGACTCAACAATAATTACAGCCCGAGCCCAAAGCATTAAACCCGACAACACCCACAAATTCCCCAACCGAGCAGCAGCTCGTGCGTGCAAGCACACTGATCGAGCAGCATTGCAGCTGCCCATACTCCACTGCCTCCCGCTTGAAGCATCATAATCGAGCAGTATGCCTGATAACACTCCCCACGCCCTGCCAAGCACCACGTTCGAGCAGACCAGGGCTCACCATTCCTAACCTGTGCCCGTGCCTTCACCATTTCTAATCGATCTGTCCATACCCTGGAACACGAGAAGCAAGAAGACATGAAATATATCAGCAATAAAAGAGATATCAACCAAGAAGAAAAGGGAGAAGACCAACGATTATCAAAAGTAGAATACACAGTAAAGGGGTTCACCAATAGTAAGCAAGCAAAAGAATCAACCATCAGCAACCATTCGGGGGGGTTCTCGGTCAGTGAAAGAGAAGAGGCTAAAATAGTTTTAGATGGGGAATGATTATCAACGATTGTAAAGGGAATTAGGGGAGAGCAAACTGTAAACGGGGAAAACAAGAAACAATGTGTAAACAGAGGAGTTCTTCCCTTCATTTCTTTGAATTAATAAAACAATCTGAGATACCAAAACGAAGAGCAACGCCATATTTTCAAATATTCTCAAAGGTATTTCCTATATTTGGCTTCTACCAAAAAACCAAAAACCATTTTCGTTTTTTTCTTTCTATTGTGAACCAAAATGAATATGAAATAGTAGGAGTGGAAGGGAAATGCTTACCTTAGAGATAGGAGTCTCGTCTTGGTTCGCTGTGGGAGTGGGAAGTGAGAGGAGTAGAACCCGAGGGTCTCAGTTATGTGGGTTAGCTTAGGTTTTTCTTTTGTCAAGTGCCCTCGGTTGAGTTAAGAAAGGCCATCGGGATGGTGGCCAAGCCTCGATTCGGGGACTAGAAGTAGATCGGAGAGTTGAGGGACTGTTGGAGGTCGTTTGGCTTGCTCGACCGTCGTCGGTGTCCGGGGTTTTGAGTTTGAAGGCTCGGTTTTGTGTGGTTGTCTTGGTTGTTGTAGGTTTTGGTCTTTCTGTGAGGTGGGTTTTTGCCACCGGCTTGCGGTAGCCGGTTGAAGTCGTGGAACCTTTGGAAGCTCTTGTCGGGGCTGTTTGCGTCGAAAGAGAGTGAAAGAAGAAGAGTTGCGGCTGGAGATGTTATAATTGAATTTAGGGTTATTTTCAATCCTAGAATTATATGTATATAAGACTAATAAAACGATGTCGTTTAATGGATATAGGGTTTCTATTTTACGCGTGGTTATGTACCACTTAAGCCATTCAAATGTTCAATGTCATGCATTTTGGTCCTTAATTCGTATGTTTCTATGTTTTTAATTTAGTTTCTTTATTTTAAGTATGTTTAATTTTAGTCCTAAGTATTGTTGTAGTTGAATCTTTGTTGTTTCAAACATTTGATCTTCGTGTTTTGCATTTTTCATTTTAGTCCTTAAATCGACGTTTTGATCTTTCTAATTTTGCTCCCATATTTTATGTGCATTTGGTTTCATCTCCAATTTGTAATATATTTAATTTTGTTATTTGAGACATTTGACTATCAATATTTTGCATGTTTCTTTTGGGTCCTTTGTAGCATTTTGGTTATATTATGTTTGCAACACTTGGAAATGACATTTTATGAAAAGAGCTCACTGTTTATTTTCTCCATATCTTAGCCACTTGTTTAATATTCCATGCATGTTTGTAGAGCTAATTTAGGTTTATTTTGAATGTATGCATGTACATATTATTTCGAGCATGTCGTTAGTACATATATATTTAGGTGTAGCGTTTTTTGCATGTTAATCTCATATGTATGACTCAACTTGATCACATAATCGGATTAAGGGTAATACCCTTTTAATTTAAAACTGTCGGGATAGCTTTTCTTAACTTACAGGAAAGTTGTTCTCAACAGTTTTAAATTACAAGTGTATCCCGTCATTGTCACCAAAAAGTTGATTATTCACTTTAAAATTTGGGAGTGAAAGAAAAAGAAATGTTCTGCTATTTAAATTTGTTGAGAAAAGGTCGTTAGAACTGACCTAAAGATCTGGTCTCAATATATTTAAATAATCGAATATTCTTTATCTTTCTAATGGCTTGATAATTTTAATTTAACTTATTTCGTTGCTTTTGAATGATACAAACGAAATTAGCATTTTTGTTATTTTAAGGGATCATAAATTAAATTAAACTCGAACTTGTGAAATTCGTTACAAATACATTTATTAATCGATTAGGTATCGATTTAGGGCGATGTGGGGGTGCTAATCATTCTCCACGCGTAACCGACTCCCGAACTTGGATTTTGATAACGCATACCTTAATTTGTTGTTTTAATTAAAATTAATTTTTATTTAAAATGACAACGTTTTTGGGTGTCCAATCACACCCTAATCAAAGATTGGTGACGACTCCTCGAACTATACATTTTATTTTAAAAAGGAATCCCAAAATTTTCGAAACGAGAGGTTTTCTAAAATCATTATTTTTATTTTAATTAAAATTAATTTTTATTTAAAATGACAACGTTTTTGGGTGTCCAATCACACCCTAATCAAAGATTGGTGACGACTCCTCGAACTATACATTTTATTTTAAAAAGGAATCCCAAAATTTTCGAAACGAGAGGTTTTCTAAAATCATATTATTTTTAATTAAAAAATCAATCAGAGATCAATAATTAAAAATGACGCGGTTTGCAAAATATCGCCCCGCACCGATAAAAATCATTTCGACAGGTATGTTATCTTGGAAAATCTGGTTTCCATTTCATTGTCTTATAATTAAGTATATTCTTGCAATATCTTGATTTTGGATATATCAATGTTTTACATCATTTATCTTTTAATCGACCATTGTTTTAATAAGTTCATGTTCATAGTATTAAAAGCATTGTCTTTATCATGAAATTAATGCCTTTTTGTCTTATTAATTATTTTTGCTTCTCCCTAATTTAATAAATATAATAATATCCGAGCAAATATATTTGATCAGTTGATTAATTTGTTTATCTTTGTTCCCTTATATCTTAGGTCATGGGTTCTAGATAGTCCGCCCTTCTCCTCCCCTCTAGATAGGATTAGGATAGATGGATAGAATGGGCGGGTGAGGGTAGTGGCCCCTGAAGTTTTCAAATTCTCTAATATTTTAGATTTTTTATGTTTATTTTTTATTAATAATTTGTTTTCGTTCCTAAAATTTTATAAATTTATCCTCTTGTATAAAATAATGTATGTATCCCGATAATATCTAACTAAGAAAACACAATTGCCATAGTAGGGTGACGAAGGTTATATATATATATAAGAGATATGATCCTGTTACACAATGTAAAACACTTTAGTTTTACATAGATTTGGGACCGTTGAATGAGTAAAAATATATGGTTAAGATTAACAGTAAGAAATGAAAATATATTCATTGGAAAAGAAAAACAAAGTGTCAATCTTAGCCATATATTTTTACTTATTTAATGGTCCTAAACATATATAAAACTAAAGAGTTTTACATTGTGTTAATACTAACCTATATATATGCATTAGGGTAAAATTACATTACCATGTCAATGAGGCTTGCACGAATGCACCAGAAGAAGGAAAGATAACCCTCACAATTTCTTATGCTTATATTGAAATGGCGGCAACAGCAACAACCAAACGATAATCTTCAAAATCAAAGCTTGGTTGCTTCTCTTTTGCTGCATATTCCAAAACCATTATCGTCCATCTTAAATCCCTCCAAATCCCAATCTTCCCAGGCTTAACTGACCAAGAATTCTCCTCCATTGAATCAAACTTTCAACTTCACTTTTCCCCCTGACCTTCGCTCTCTCCTCCAACAGGGCCTCCCCGTCCAGCCTTCTTTCCCCAACTGGCGATCGTCTTCTCCTCACCAACTCAACATTCTCCTCAACCTCCCTTTATTGTCTCTGTCAAACAACATTAGGTTCCACAACTTCTGGTCCGACTCATGGGGGCCTAACCCTTCAAACTCCGATGAAGCCATAGCTCTGGTTAACAAGTTCTTGCGAAAAGCGCCTCCTCTTGTTCCTGTGTACAGAAACTGCTATATCCCTTCCAAGCCGAACGTGCAAGGAAACCCTGTTTTCTACGTCGATGGCGAGCAAGTTAGAATCATGAGTAATGATATTACTAGGTTTTTTCATCAAGTATGGGGAAGAGGCGATGAAGCTAATAGCGTTGACCTTCCGGCTTGGGCGGCTACCTCAGCACGGAGGATTGCATTTTGGACAGAGGTGGCGGAGAGGGGGAGGAGGGTAGTGGTGGCGCGTGGGATCACCGGGGGTGGTGGAATCGGAGTGACGTGGAGGAGAGGAATTCGAGGTTAGGGGCATGTTTGGAGGAAGGGTTTTGGAGATTGAGGAAGGGTGGGTGGACGGAGGAGGAGGTGAGAGATATGATGATGATGATCGACGACGACCTTGATCTTAACGACCGAGGGACTCGATTTGTGATGGACAACGAGGATGCGGAGTGGCACGTGAGGGTCTTGTCCATTGTGTTATTACGTGCGGGATGGACTAGGGAAGATGTTGTGTACTCTCTTAATCTCCAAAATGTTATTGACGACGACGATGGGGAAATCATGAATTGAGGAAATTCATCGAGGACGTTGATCTTTAAAACATTGACCTGAAAGCAATAATGTTTATATAAAAATATTTAGTAAGTAATAATTTATCATAGTATTAAACTTTAGAATATTTTAAATGGGTTCATAAACAATTAAAAATTGACCTTAAACAAAAGCAATAATTTCAGTGAAATATTGTGCAACAAAACCAAAAGAAAAGATTATTAAAAATAGTAAAAGCTGGTAATAATTTTTTACTAAGAACTTATATGGTCAATAATGTCATGTATAGAAGAATAATATTTGATATACATTCAGGACAATCGGAAGAAAAAAAAATCGGTGAATGATTAGTAGCAGTCCAATGAGCAAGGTTCTACGCAACAGTATTTACAATTCGTTGAACATAATAAATTTAAATGTGGGAGATTTTACTCAACAACCGTTGTGATTCATTGAGATGAAAGCTTGTTGGTCAAAGAAAATTTAGCAGCCGGCGGCTGCTTAATTAAAAAAAAAAAAACATGGGCTGCTAAGGGGCTGCTAAGGGGTATTTTTATAGGGTTAATTATAAGTTTAGTCCTAAGTTTCAACTATAAATACCCTAACTCATTTAGCTTCAAAATCATCCCAAAATCTTCTAGTTCTCTCTCAAGTGTGTTGTGTAAACACCTGTAAATTTTCTCTTAGTAAAAGATATGCAGCAGTCCGGAGACGTAAGCACAAATTGGCTGAACTCCGTTATCAAATTTCGGGTATTATTTTTCCGCTTTTATTTCGCATTCTCACTAATCTGGTTATAGGGAAATTACTTGTACTTGGTTTATTTCCTAACAACTGGTAATCAGAGCTTTTGGTTGTGAATTTTGTCAATTTTCTGCGAGATTACTATTCATTACTATTCACATGAATAGTGAATTTCGTGAATAGTGAAATTCGGTCGGCGATACGAGTTTGTCGACGGAGGTGTTCTAATACACGGCGGTTCGCAGAAATTGTCAGAAACGATCCAAACGAAGTCAGATTCGAGTGGGAGCGATGGCTGCAGACGAAGGGAAGGTGAAAATTGAAAAGTTCGATGGTACGGACTTTGGCTTTTGGAAGATGCAGATTGAAGATTTTCTGTACCAGAAAAATCTATATCAACCTCTTTCAGGAAAGCAACCAGAGGGCATGAAGAATGAAGACTGGGCTCTTCTCGACAGACAAGCCTCGAGTTATCCGACTGACGTTGTCCCGAAATGTTGCTTTCAACATAGCAAAGGAAAAGACCACGGCAGGTCTTATGGCAGCTCTCTCAGTATGTATGAGAAGCCATCGGCCTCAAACAAAGTTCACTTGATGAGGCGATTATTCAATTTGCGGATGACGGAAGGGGCATCAGTGGCTCAACACCTGAATGAACTCAACACAATCACAACCCAGTTGAGTTCTGTGGAAATTGAATTCGATGATGAAGTTCGAGCTTTAATTCTCTTATCATCTCTACCAGACAGTTGGAATGCTACTGTTACAGCAGTTAGCAGCTCGTCGGGAAATAGTAAATTGAAATTCGACGATGTTCGGGATCTGGTACTGAGCGAAGAAATTCGACGGAGAGAATCGGGTGAAGCATCAACCTCCTCAGCCTTGCACACGGAGTCTAGAGGGAGAACTTCAGAAAGAAATTCAAATCGTGGCAGATCCAAATCCAGACGGGAAAAATCCAGAACGGGAAAGAAAGATTTACCTGTTATAATTGTGGCAAGAAAGGTCATTTTAAAAGAGATTACCGAGCACTGAAGAAAGATACCGGTGCACAGGAATCTGCCAACGTGACAGAGGAGACAGGTGATGCCATGATTCTAAGCGTCAACAGTCCGATTGAATCATGGATCTTGGATTCAGGGGCATCTTTCCACTCCACTCCATGCCAAGAAATCATGGAGAACTATATCAGTGGTGATTTTGGGAAGGTTCATCTTGCTGATGATGAAACCTTGAAGATCGTCGGAAAAGGAGATATCCGACTAAAGCTGCCAAACCAGACCACCTGGAAACTGACAGGAGTGAGATATATTCCTGGCCTCAAAAGAAATCTGATTTCTGTTGGACAGCTTGATGAAGAAGGATATAGTACAACCTTTTCAGGTTGTGAATGAAAGATTATCAAAGGAGCACTCGTCATTGCTCATGGTAAGAAGACTGGTACTCTCTATGTAACCTCAAATTTAGAGAATATCATTGCAGTAACAGATGCTGATGGAAAATCAAACCTATGGCACCAAAGGCTTGGCCATATGAGCGAGAAAGGAATGAAGATACTTCTGTCAAAAGGGAAGCTGCCGGATCTAAAGAATGTGGATGTCGGACTATGCGAGGATTGCATCTTTGGCAAACAAAAGAAAGTCAGTTTTGCAAAGATTGGCAAGGCACCCAAGGCAGAAAGGTTAGAATTGATTCATACTGATGTATGGGGACCATCCCCAGTTCCATCTCTTGCAGGCTCACTATATTATATCACCTTCATCGATGATTCAACAAGGAAGGTGTGGGTTTATTTTCTGAAGAAGAAATCAGAAGTCTTTGATACCTTCAGAAAATGGAAGGCCATGGTGGAAAATGAGACTGGTTTGAAAGTCAAGAGGTCGAGGTCTGACAATGGAGGAGAGTATAGAGACAGTAGATTCAGAGATTTCTGCGCAAACAATGGGATTAAGATGGAGAAAACAGTTCCCATAACACCGCAGCAGAATGGCGTAGCAGAGCGCATGAACAGAACTCTGAATGAACGTGCTAGAAGCATGAGGATACATGCCGGATTGCCCAAATTTATATGGGCTGAAGCTATCAACACTGCAGCTTACCTGATCAACCGTGGGCCCTCTGTTCCTTTGGATGGCGGAATACCAGAGGAAGCTTGGAGCAAGAAAGAAATAAACCTTTCACACTTAAGAGTGTTTGGTTGTATTTCTTATGTACACATAGACTCTGCTGAAAGAAGTAAACTTGATGCTAAGTCCAACAAATGTGCCTTTGTTGGTTATGGCGGTGATGAGTTCGGTTACCGGTTTTGGGACTACGAAAATCGAAATATCATCAAAAGCAGAGATTTCATTTTCAATGAAAATGTGATGTACAAAGACAGGTCAACCGCATAATCAAGTAATACCGAGGTTGAAACAAAGGAATTTGCTGAGTTCGAGGAGATTTCTGGAAATGATGTTCAGATCAGTCCTGAAGCAGTTCAAGAGGAAGAACCAGGCATACCAGAACTGAGACGCTTCTCCAGAATTCCTAAACCAACCCAACGGTATTCGCCTTCTTTACACTACTTGTTGCTGACTGACAATGGTGAACCAGAGTGTTATGATGAAGCAATGCAAGTGGAGGATTCAGTCAAGTGGGAGTCTTCCATGAAAGATGAGATGGACTCGCTTATGTCAAATCAGACGTGGGAATTAGCTGAATTACCACAAGGCAAGAGAGCGCTCCACAACAAGTGGATTTATAGGATCAAAGAAGAGCACGATGGGAGCAAACGCTACAAAGCAAGATTGGTTGTCAAAGGCTTTCAGTAAAAAGAAGGTATTGATTACAATGAAATTTTCTCTCCAGTCGTGAAACTGTCTACAATCAGACTGGTGTTGAAAATTGTAGCTGCAGAAAATTTACACCTTGAGCAGTTAGATGTAAAGACAGCTTTCCTTCATGGTGATTTGGAGGAAGAAATCTATATGAGGCAGCCAGAAGGCTTCATAGAGGCAGGCAAGAAAAACCTGGTATGCAGGTTGAAGAAGAGCTTGTATGGTTTAAAACAAGCTCCTAGACAGTGGTACAAGAAGTTCGATAGTTTCATGGGTAGCAGTGATTTTACCAGATGCCAAGCAGATCATTGTTGCTACATCAAGAGGTTCGACAACAGCTTCATTATTTTATTATTGTACGTTGATGACATGCTCGTTGCAGGCTCAGACATGCAAGAGATTATACACTTAAAGCAAAAATTGTCGAAGCAGTTTGCTATGAAGGATCTGGGCGCTGCAAAGCAGATTCTTGGGATGAGGATCAAGAGAGACACAAAGTCGGGGACTTTGATGTTATCACAGGCTGAGTACATCAACAAAGTACTCTCCAGGTTCAACATGCAAGATGCTAAACCAGTAAGTACACCTTTAGGTGTTCATTTCAGACTCTCCAAAGAACAGTCACCAAAGACGGAGGAAGAACGTGCACACAAGGTGAAGGTGTCGTATGCCTCAGCAATTGGAAGTCTGATGTATGCCATGGTTTGTACCAAACCAGATATTGCTCAAGCAGTGGGAGCTGTTAGCAGGTACATGAATAATCCAGGCAAAATACACTGGGAAGCAGTCAAATGGATCCTCAGATATCTGCGAGGTACCACAAACAAAGCACTTTGTTTCAAAGGTGGAGATACGATACTGACAGGCTATGTAGATGCTGACTTAGCCGGAAATGTTGACATCAGAAGAAGCACTACAGGGTATGTCTATACTCTAGGAGGAACCGCAGTGAGTTGGGTTTCTCAACTACAGAAGATAGTTGCTCTCTCTACAACCGAAGCAGAATATGTCGCTGTTACGGAAGCCAGCAAAGAGATGGTCTGGCTCCAAAGTTTCTTGGAAGAATTAGGCAAGAAACAAGAAAACAATGTCTTGTATTGCGACAGTCAAAGTGCTATCCATCTAGCGAAGAATCCGTCTTTTCATTCCAGGACGAAGCACATACAACTGCGATATCATTTTATCCGGTCTCTTCTGGAAGATGGGATTTTGAAACTTGAAAAGATCAGTGGAGCTCAAAATCCGGCAGATATGTTAACAAAGACGGTGACCACATAAAAACTGAAGTTGTGTTCAGCTTCAGTTGGCATGCTAGAATAAAAGACCAGAAATGCTGCTGCATTGATCGAGGTGTGAAGAAAGATTGAAATCAGTCTTCAAAGTGGGAGATTGTTGGTCAAAGAAAATTTAGCAGCCGGCGGCTGCTTAATTAAAAAAAAAACATGGGCTGCTAAG